AACTTGTCCGAGGTCACACAGCTATAATAGAACTAAGATTAGAACCCTTGCCATCTGGCTGCAGAGAGTGCTTTTTTTTTTTTAAACTGTTTGATTCTATTTATATAACATTCTAGAATATGCAAACTAATCTGTAATAACAGAAAGTCAGAAGTTGACTGGGGCTAGGGGTAGAGGAAGAATTGGAAGCATGGATTGGAAAGGGTCACAAGGAAACTTGGGGGTGTTGGAAATGTTTGTCATCTGACTGTAGTGATGTTTTCTCTGGAAAACATCTTTTAAAAAATGTAAATAAGGAGAGAAAATAAAAAGAAATCACCAGGTCCATAAGTGAACCCACCACATATTTACAGAACAGTAACTCCAGAGGTAATTAAAACCTTTCAGTGCATAAAGAAAGAAGAAAAACTTCCCAATTTCTTTTATGAAACCAGCCTGATTTTGATACCAAGAGCCACTTGTGCAGGTATTAACTCTGGAAATCATCTGCCCTGTGTATGACCTGGTTTCAAGATTATTTTTTGTGTGTTTTGCTTTTAGAAGTTTAATTGCAGTTTGTCTTCATATGATTTCTCTGGTCATGTAAGTCAGCTTTCCATCACTGTGACAACTTGATGATAAACGTAAGGAGGAAAAGTTTATTTTGACTCATAGTTTTATAGGTTCCAGTTTGTGATCTGGTGGCCCTGTGGTGAGGCTGCACATGGGGGGGGGGGGCATATCCTCTTCAAGGCCACACCCCCAATGACCTAACCTCCTCCCACTAGGCCCCACCTACTAAAAGTTCCTCCACTTTCCAGCAGCCCCTGAGCTGGAGACCAAGCCTTTATTTAACACATGAGTCTTTGGGGGACCTTCCAGATCCAGACTGTAACATTGGGCTTATTCTGCTTGGGAATTTAGCAACCAGGTAAGAGAGCCCAGCAAGAAGGAAGAGGAGGCAGGTTGGCCTCCGAGGCTGATGCCAATGAGAAGGCTTTCATGTGCAGGACCCAGAGCCTGGTCTCCTGACACCCTCCTAGCACATCCCTGCCACCCAGGCCCATGTGTGTGTCTTTATCCTTGACAACTTCTCTCTGCACCCCTCTCTCTCTGCCCCTCCACCTCTGTCTTTGCTGTGGTGATGGGAATGGAACCGGGCCTCACCCCTGATGGGCAAGTGCTCTGCCACTCTGCTACCCACCCCCTCTCCTCATCAGCTCTTGCTTTTTCTCTGGAAACCTCCAGCAGTCTGGGACTGCCTTTCATCCCATCCCTGTGCCCTCTTCAAGAGGCACATATTTTACACCTTGGTTCTGAACTGAGCTGCAGCTTCAGGAAGCAGCACTTGTTCTCTGTGCCACAGGCTCCGGGAGATCTCCCGCTTCTCCCCTGCTCTCCACACCACCCTCCTGCTCCCTTCCACTCCGCTGGATCCGACACCTCTCTGTGTCTCGCCCACTTCTGCTAGACGTGGCTTGTGGACCATGTTGTCCTGTGTAGTCAGTTTGCTCCTTCGARTGTGCATACACCCCAACTTCTCTATCCATTCTTGTCCATGGGCTCGCAGTTGGTTCTCAGTTTGGGGCATTATAAATAGTTCTGCTGCAAACAAGACATAYAGGAACAACCGTGTGCCAAGAGGTGAGCCCAGGGACGTGTAGGTTTTTCCTGTTTCCCACCCTGATGTACCAGAGTTTCCATTTTTCCACATCGTTCTTTTTCACTGCAGCCTTTCTGGTGTGGTGTGGTGATATCCTGTGGTGGTTTCACTTTTATTTCCCTGGTGACAGATGAAGTGGAGCACCTTTTCATGTGTTCGTACCATTTGGCTGTCCAATTTTGCAATTTCTTTTTCCGTTCTTTAGTATGTTTTTCTATTAGATAGTATACCTTATTGACTTGAAGGTTATCTTTATATATTATAGATCCAATAACTTTGTTGAATATTTGTTTGTAGATAGCTTCTCCCCTTCCTGCTGTCTTCATGGTGCATTTAAACAAAAAGACATTTTAATTTTATTGTAGTTCAACATATCCATTCGGGCTCTGTAGTGAATGCAGTTTTTTTTTTTGCTGGGGAGGAGGGGGCTGTAGTAACCAAGGGTTGAACTCAAGGGCACTTGACCACTGAGCCACATCCCCAGCCCTATTTTGTATTTTATTTAGAGACAGGGTCTCACTGAGTTGCTTAGTGCCTTTTGCTGAGGCCGGCTTTGATCCTCCTGCCTCAGCCTCCTGAGCCACTGGCATTACAGGCGTGTGTCACTGTGCCCAGCTCATAGTGAATACTTTATGTGCTAAAGACTCCTTTGCCTGCTCCAAGATGACAAACTCATTTGATGTTTTTCTCTAAAGTCTGTTGTTTGATCTTTCATCTTTAGATCAGTAGTCCATTGACTATTTTTGTGTGTGGTGTGAGGTAGGGGTCAATATCAACTTTGCTTTCTAAAGAGACATTGATTGACCCAGAACTATATTAAAAAGACCGTTTTCCCACCACTGTGCTGAAGTGAACCTGTGACTGGTTTAAGAGAACATGCGATTGATATAGTCGCTCTCTGGCTCGTCCCCTCCCGGAGCCTCATTCTCACTTTGCTGGGTCTGACTGAGCCTGTCACCTCCAACATCCTTTCCAGCTATCCACTCCTGCTCACCTCACTTCAGCCTCCTGTTGTTTCTCCAAATCAAACACAAAAATGACCACGTGTCTTAACTAAGCAGGAGTTTAATTTTCTCCTACAATAGGAGATCTGGAAGAAGGTAGTTCAGTAGCACTAGATTGGTGGGATTCTCAGGATTGTGCCTTTTGTTGCAAGGTGGCTGCTGCAGCTGCAGCCATCACACCTTGAATTTAGAGCCAGAGGCAGGAGGAAAAAAAAGCAATGCCTGTTCCTTCCCTAGACATCTCAGGAGTCTTACTGAGATCTCATTGATCAGACAATAGTCAGGGGCTACCCAGGCTGCCAGAGAGACTAGGAAAGTGTTGGCCAGGGACATTGACACCCAGAACCCAACTGGAGTAAGGAGAGGTGGAGTGAGTTGGTGGGGAACCACAGAATCCGCATGTGGGGTCCTKGGATATCAGCAGATGACTGACCTGGATGAGGCTGAGGTTTGGGAGGTGGAGCTCTACTGAGAGGGAGGAGGGATGGGTGTGTGGGGACTAATTTTATAAATTGGGACTAATTGAATCATGATGTGAGGTCATTAGAGTAATGTTTGTTCTATGACCCTGRCTTCCCGGGAGCTGAGTGTGGAGATTGAGGCCACAGGACTTCCGATGTGATCTTTCTGTGCATATGTGTCGGGGGTTCTTAATGACAGAGTCCCAGAAGTGGCTTGAGATGTCATAAAGGGTACATATTTGAGATGTTAATAAATACTGCTCATTTCCCTCCAAAATGACTACACTGATTTGTACCCACCCCCAGGAAATAAAAAGGCTCGTCCCAAACACACCTTAAGCAATTCTGATAGTTGTCACTCTGGTCAGTGAAAATAAGCGTTTTTAAAATTTTACTCCTTTCCTTTCTCCATTTCTTCCTTTTGAGGAGGTTGAGCATCTTTTTTGGTGATCTTTTACTATTAATTTCATCTTCCATGAACTGCCTGTTCTTTTCCTTTCTAAGTTCTTTGCTGCTGTTGTTCATTCGTTTGGTTTTTTGGTATTGAGGGTTGAACCCAGGTGAGCTTTATCACAGAGCCACATCCCCAGCCTTTTTAAAATTTTTTGAGACAGGAGCACTCTAAGTTKCTCAGGACCTTGCTAAGTTGCTGAGGCTGCCTTTGAAATTGCGATCCTCCTGCCTCAACCTCCTGAGCCACTGAGGTCTTAGGTGTGTGCCACCACACCCAGTTCTTTTGGAAATTCTTATTGATGCTTGGGAGCTATTCATATATTGTGKTTTTTTTCACCTTAAAGTACTTTGTTGTATACATTGCCAATATTGACTCTGAGGGTTTTTCTTAAATGTCCTTTAACTCTGATTTTTGGGGGGCGGGGGGTGGGTACTGGGGATTGAACTCAGGAGCACTCAACCACTGAGCCACATCCCCAGCCCTATTTGTATTTCATTTAGWGACGGGGTCTCACTGAGTTGCTTAGCACCTCGCTTTTGCTGAGGTGGCTGGCTTTGAACTCAAAATTCTCAGCCTTTTGAGCCACTGGGATTACAGGCATGTGCCACCATGCCCCGCTTGATTTTTTATTTTAAATCATCATGTTGCCTGGACATGGTGGCACATGCTTCTAATCTGAGCAACTTGGGAGGCTGAGGAAGGAAGGCTGCAAGTTCAAGGTCAACCTGGGCAACTTAGCAAGACCTTATCTCAAAGGGAAAAAAAGAATTTCAAAGGGGTAGGGATGTAACTTAGTCATGGAGTGTTCCTGGGCCCAATCCCCAGTACTGAAAAAGAAAAAAAAAAAATTGAACTGTGTGGTCACATCTATCCTTGTTTTTCTGTGGCCTCTAAAATTTCAGTCATGCTTAAAAGAACCTTTCCCACATAAGGATTTTATCTATGTAAAATTGCACATTCACAGTTTAATACAGAGCCCAAAGAATAAAATACATAGTTAGAGTTAATGAATAAATTTTTGCAAATATCACACTGTACAAGATGCTTTGTAACCCGTTTCTTTGCTCTTACTGGACACCAAATGTCTTTTTTTGTGTCGTTAAGTATGTGTGAAACATCATTAGGTTTCATTTTAGCAGCAGCACTGTTAATGGCTGTTTAGTATTTCATTTTTACAGTAGTGTGCTAATCTTTTTCCTACTGTCTTGTCAGCTGTTTATATATTGAAAATATTGACCACTATGGTGAATACATTAAAAATGTGCTTTCCTTTTAAGTTTTTGTTTTGCTGTGCTTTGTGGTGTTATTTTCATTCAGAAACTTTAAACTGATTTTAAGCATTTTAAACTCACAATCTCTTCCTTCCTCTAATATGACTCTGGTGGGGCTTCTGGGGCGAGCTTGTTGGTGACTGTCTCTGTACACCCTGTCCCTGCCAGGCCTTGGAGACCCGGGCCAGCCCTGGCCACACCCCAGGCTGTGTCACCTTTGTCCTGAACGACCTCAGTATGGCCTTCACTGGAGATGCCCTGCTGATCCGTGGATGTGGGCGGACAGACTTCCAGCAAGGTGACCCGCTCCTTATCCAGCGCAAGAGTCAAATATGGTTATATATTTGCCAGGGTTTTATGCATTAGCTACAAGAATGAATGAGAAGACCTTAGATTTTTAGGGGGCCAGTTTTACATTCCAGGGGTGCATTAGTTATCTATTGCTGTGAAACAAATTACTGCAAAATGTAACAATGATTAGACAGGCATAGTAGCACATTTCTATAATCTTAGCAACTCTGAAGGCTGAGGCAGGAGGATTCCAAGTTCAAGGTCAGCCTTGGCAATTTAGCATGACCCTGTCTCAAAATAAAAAATTTTAATAAAAGCTGGAGATATAACACAGTGGAAGAGTACCCCTGGGTTCAATCCCCAGTACAAAATTAATAATAATAATAATAATAATAATAATAGTATTAACATTCACTGTCCCACAAAGTTTCTGAGAGTCAAGAATCCAGGAGCAGTTTAGGGTGTGGGCTGTACTCATCAGAAGGCTGGATGGGTCTGGGGACCCACTTCTGGGGTGGCTTCCTCCCATGGCTGCCAGTTGCCGTGCTTGTTGGCAGAGGCCTCCCTTCCTCACCTGGTGGACTGCTCCAGAGGGCTGCATGAGTGTCCTTATGACATGGCAGCCAGATCCTCCCAGAAAAAAAAATGACCAGAGAGAAAGAGAAGCCTTAATTTTTTCTTTGACCTTGCCTCAGAAGTTATACTCTGTCATTTTTGCAATATCCTATTTATTAGGAGCAAAATATGTAATCCAGACCCTTAGATCAAGCGGAGGGAAATGAAGTGTCACGTTTCAATAAGAAGATTCAAGAATTTATGAAGGTGTTCGAAAACCACATCAAGGGCCTTAGCTGCTGGTGGGTGTGGTGGGGTGGAGTTGTGCTCAGGAGATCAGCGGCTCAGAGGCCATTAGGAGGTTGTTTGGTCCCTGGTTCAGCTGTGAGAAGGTTCTGCAGCTTCGGGGTGTAGCTGCAGAGGATGATTTGATTCGGGGATTTTCCTGTGGGAAGAGAGTTTAGTTTTGGATCTCAGGATCTGGCTGCCCGTTGAGCATGTGCACGAATGTGGCTTGACACTAGATTGGAGGAGTAGGCTGTCTTGTGGGCAGAGGCAAGACCACGTGAGAGAAATGGCAGCAGCTGTCACACACTGGCAGCGGGAAGCCAGGTCCTGGCCCCCTCTCCCTCTCTGTGTCTTCATTTCAGTCTGTGGTCATCTCTCTCGGACTACTAATTTGCTTCTTATCCATTCCCAACACAACATAAAATGGGGGAATTTTGGTTGAAATGGAAGGCAAAAGAATGTTCCAGAGAGGTTTGCCTCTGTCCCAGTCGAGGCCCAGCTTCCTGTTGGAACCACTGTTCCATATGCTGCTTGGCCTCATGTCTTTGGTTTATTACCTTCTAGTCCAACTTCTTTGCCCAGAATCCTTCCTCAGTGTCCCCAGAGTAAGGACACATTTCCTGGGGGGCTTCAGAATCTCTCTTCCCACACTTACARTCCCACATTATAAAGGCAAATTTCTCACCATTCATTTTTCTTCATGTATGTCCTTCCCTCTGCCTCTACCTAGACAAAGGGGTTGGGGCAGGAGATGAGGGAGATGGCTTAGCTACTCTGATTATCCTCCCACCCTTTTCCTGAGGGAAGGTATTTTAGGGCTTCTCCTGTCCTGCTCACCCACTGACCTCTGACCTTTCCTTCCCCAGGCTGTGCTAAGACCTTGTACCACTCAGTCCACAAAAAGATCTTCACACTTCCAGGCAACTGTCTGGTCTACCCTGCTCACGATTACCATGGTGAGGGCTCRCTGGAGCGGGTGGGGGCTTACCTAACTTTTGAGGGGATAGCCAGCTTCTGTATTCTTTGTATGGCACAGGGACTACACACATTCCAGAAATTCCTCTGGCCAAAAAAGATTAAGTGCTTGGGTGTGCCGTGTGTGGAGGTAGAAACTGGACAACTTCTAGAATTCTGCAGGGCGTGGGTTTTCCTGGGACTTCCTTGTGGAGTGCAGAGGACTGTTGGGAAACTAAATTTCCCATAATGAGCATCGGGAGGGAAAGCAATCTCAGATTTGGGAAGAGCCCATTAGTGCCTGGCTAGAGAGGCACCCAAAGACCTCCTGGGAATTGTAGTTCCGAGCTGCCCAAGGTGCTGGACCAGTTGACTTCCCTCTCGCTACCCCCCACCTTGGTCACTAGGACACACAGTGTCCACCGTGGAGGAGGAGCGGACTCTGAACCCTCGGCTCACTCTCAGCTGCGAGGAGTTTGTTAAGGTCATGGACAATCTGAACTTGCCTAAACCACAGCAGATAGGTGAGCACCCGGGGTCCTGGTGGGAGGAGGATTGGGGTGTGGACTCCTGGGTCTGAGGGAGGAGGGGTAGGGCCAGAACTCTAGTTCCCTAAAGAAGGGCGCAGTGTACCTGGGTCCTTGGAGGGACATGGGCTTCTGCCTGGCCCCTTGGTTTCATCCAGTTTCTTTTCAGACATTGCTGTTCCAGCCAACATGCGCTGCGGGGTCCAGACGCCACCTTCCTAACCTGTTTCTGTCAGGTGCTTATGTCCGTCAAGAGTGCACTCGGTGGAGCCAGGGGTGGAGCCAGGGGAGAGGGGTCACCACTAGACCTCTGTCCCCTCCCACCCTACCCCCATCAGCCCCTCAAACTTCTTAAATAAAAAGTATTTTTTTTCCTTTTGTCATGAATCTGACTTCTGCCTCTTTTCTGGGGGAACCAGCTGGGTTTTGAGTGGATGTGCTTGGAGTTGGTTCTAGTCCCTTGGAAAGGCTGCGGGAGCTGGGCACGATGCAGGTCCCGGGAGATTTCTAACTCACAAGATTAGAAGCCAACATATCTGGCAGGTGCTCTCATGGCCTTGGATCAGAACACGGTTTGGTCCTGAGTCCTAGAGTTAGGTACTTTCCCTCTACAGCCCTCAATTGCCTGATCTGTAAAATGGAAATAACAATAATAATAGGGTGTCATGGAGATCTGATAAGTCCATAAATATGAGTGCTTGGCACACTGCCTGAATGGCCAACTCCCTAGGAGTGCTATTATTGTTGCTATCATTTGGAATGATCTCTTAGGTGCTTCCTGACTTGGAGTGACAATTTACATAATGGTTAAGAACATGGGTGTTGAAAGAATGAAGCTGATGTGTAGACCTTGGATGCATTTCTCTCCTCCCAGCCTCAGTTTCCCCTCAGTATATAATGGAAATAGTAATCCCTCCTTCGAGCTGGGCTGCTTTGAGGGTGAAACCAAATTAGCGTGTGTAAAGTGTTCAGCACAGCTCTTGACATCTAATAACCTGGTTTCATGGACCAATTATTTTCTGTTTTTGCCCAGAGAGGAAAAGGTCTGGCTGAGACCTTTAACCTCTGTCCTCCGCCCCATAGCAAAGTGTGTGTGGGGCGGGGGCACACTTCCCTGTATTTCTGGGCGGGTATCTGACTCAAAGTACCCCTCTCCCCTTGTCCAGCTCCCTAAACCGGTTGGGGCCCTTCGAAAGGGCTCATTAGAGGGGAGAGTCTCCATCTTCATTCCTATCTCCCTTTGAGAACTCAGAATGTGGGCAGTAGGGAGGCTGGTATACAAAGGTGGCCAGGCAGCCCTTCAGGGGACAGGAATGGGAGCGCTGGAGGCGGAGTGGGAGGTCGCGATGCTGGGTTCTCCGAGGGTGGGGCCCGGAAGGCCTGATGCCGCGGGCGGGGCGAGCTGGTCGCTCCCTCCTCTCTGCAGAGCTGTTGGACCTGTTGTCCCCCCCTCCACTTCCGGGCTGCTGGGGAGGGGGACGGGCGGCCTCTCCTCCTCTTCACAGCCACCTGTCTCTGTAGCAGAAGCTGCAGCGCCGGGAGCGCGGAGCGGAGCGAGCTGGTGAGGGGCCGGGGCTGCGGGAGGGAGGGGACTCAGCTCGCGGGGCCCGCGCGGGAGGCGGGAGCCGGAGTTGGGGAGCCTAGTTCCTGGGAGAAAAGGAGGGCTTGGGCTCCAGCCTCGTCCCGAGGGGAAGACCGGGAGCCCGGTCCTGAATCCCTGGGTGACGCGACCTGGGTGCTGGTCCCTTACACAGTGGGGTCGGGACGGCCGGACTCGGGGAGGAAGGGGCGTCGAGTACCCAGGGAGGAGAAGGGGTCGCGTTAAAGTGGCCCAAGAGATTGTCGGGGGCCACTGGGCAAGTCCAAGGCCTGACACCTGGGTGGCAGGGAGGTTCTGGGTCGCAGAGTCCGGTGGGGGGCGTGCCAGGACCCCGACTCAAATTCCGGCCCCGCCTACAGCGGGGTGCTGCCTCCGGAGCCCTCGAACCTCGTCCCAACTTCTTCCCCGGCCCTGGAAGCTCAGACCACGCCCTCGGAGTGCTCAGGGCCGTCCTTTGAACTCCTAGGCCCAGCCTCCCCGAGCACTCCGCGAGGCCGGGCCGTCGGGTGCGGCGCCGGGGACCCTAGGCCACGCCCCACGCTTCCAGGCCACGCCCCGGAGCCAGGACCACGCCCACCCCGCAGGAGTCCGGARCGGCCATGGGGACTCCCAGTAGCCCGGAGGAGAGGTCCGGGTCCCCGCCGGTCCCCGAGTGCGACGCAGAGGTTCAGCCTCAAGGGGCCTCCCAGCCCCATGATCACCCCGATGAGCCCCGCGAACAGGAGGCTCCCGGGGTCCCGGCGGAGCTTCCTAGCGGCCAAGGAGTTGAGCAGCAGACTGAGGAAGAGGAAGAAGTGGGAGAAGGCAGCAGCACCGAGAGCAGCCGGGAGGAGGTGAGGGCCCTTAGGGCGGCAGCCACTGGGAGATCCCAACAGACAGCGACTCAAACAGGTGACCGGACACAGACCGGTGGAGAGAAACCAAAGGGACAGAGACCTGGAGACAGGGAAAAACACAGAGATGGGGAAAGACACAGAGAAACAGAGACAGCCCCAGACAGATCCACGAGCAGACCCAATAGAGACTGACCCAAACGGGTGACCAGACACAGATACAGGCACTGGGAGAGAGACCCAGAGATTGGGAGAGAGACCCAGAGTTAGGGAGAGACAAACCTGGACTTGGATCTAGAGAGCCTCAGACCTGCTGAGAGACAGAAACCAGAGAGAGACACAGAGACCCTTGAGACAAAGACCTCAAGAAGAGACTGAGAGATGAAGGAGGGAGGCAAGGACAGAGGAAGAGASAGAAAGAGTCCCAGAGATTCATAGTGATGGTTAGAGACCCAGAGGGCAACCCAGAAACAAGGTGAAATTACTCAGAAAAAGAGAAATACGGGCACAGAAACCTGGAGAGAGGGAGAAACTCCAAGGGAGAAAGAGACCTCGTGATTCAGAGACAGAAGACAACTGAGAGACAGGAGGAGAGACTTAGACGTGAGGAGAAAAATGGGGCATGGGGCGCAAAGAGAATGGGACCTAGATTTAAAAACCAACCAACCACCACCACCAMCAACAACAAAAATCATCTTCCATGAATCGGCTTTGTACCCGCTTCCTGAACTGTGAGCCCCTACCATACAGAGGTCCCCAGGTCTGCCCCTTCCCCCACCCGCCTTACAGATCAAATGGGCATGGTGGTGGAGTTAGGCTGACCRCCACCCCCAGACAGGGATGAGGGCTTGGGACCAGACCTATAGTGACTGTAGGAGGCTAGACCTTTTCCATTTGACCCACCCTCTCCAACTTCAGCCCGAGGGCGCACCCCGGGCACAGACACCGGCCTCACCCTCCACCTGCACCCCTTATGGGGAAGGGGTGAGAGCAGCCCGGAGGAGGCTCCAAGCCCAGAAGCTGGAGGCAGTGACTCGAGTTGCCCTGTTGGAGCAGAGACTGAAGGAGCTTCAGCGTCAAAAGAAGGAGCTGAGGATCCAGGTGAGGCTTGGACCCCCTTGGGAAGACTGGCCTCAACTCATCTGCAAGGCCAGCTCCCAGCCCTCCTCGCCCAGGGGTCATATTCTAGGCCCCCAGCTTCATCCTTCCTCCAAACCGGGCGCCCAGAATCCAGGAGTTCAGGCTCCTGGGCCCCTCATAGGCATCAGAACCCTCAGCCCCGGACTTATGGACCTTGCAGATGGAGGTGGAGGTGGCCCTGATACGGGGTGAACTGGCTGGAGAGAGAGTGGCCCTGCGGCGGGAGGAGGAGCAGCTCCGGGAGCTGCTAGGGCAGCTGGTGGTCCAGGAGCCCGGCAGCCAGGAGCGGGAACAGGTTTGTTCACCTACTGTTTCTTTTCCAGTGGTTTCCTTCCTTGCGTGTGTGCATGGAGGGAGGTATTCRTGGTGTTTTTTCGGATGACTTGTCCCCCTACCCCCCATGGTCCCTGTTTCACTTGGGATCCAGAGATGCTGAGAACAGATTTTCCCTCCTCCCTCCCTGACTGTGATTCGAGACCTGACTCATTGGGCCTTCTTCCTTGACTCCCTCTGCTTTTGCTTTTTAAATATCATAGTAGGGAAAATCTCAAATCCACAAAAATCAAATAGGCAGACAGCCTCCATGCCCTGTGCTCCCTGACTTCCACAATCATAAATCTTCCTTTCTTCTTTCATGTCCTGCAATTTGCTTCCTGCTCCCTAGTTTTAAAAGCACATCCCCAACATCATAAACTAGTACATACTTTAGCATGTACCATTTGCAAGTAAGATCTCCTTTTTAAAAACATCACCATGACATCTTATTATCTCACCTGAGGAATTTTTATTTTTTTAAAGAGAAAGTGAGAGAGAGAGAGAATTTTTTTTAAATGTTTTATTTTTTAGTTTTTGGCCGACACAACATCTTTCTTTGTATGTGGTGCTAAGGATCGAACCCGGGCAGCATGTATGCCAGGCGAGCGCGCTACTGCTTGAGCCACATCCCCAGCCCCAATTTTTGTTTTATTTTTTATGGTGCTAGGGATGGAACTCTGGGCCCACTCATGCTAGGCAATTGCTCTGCCACTGAGCTACTCCTCAGCCCTTACCTTAATAATCAATAAGTTTTATTATTGTCTTACTTCTAGTCCATTTTCATTTTTCCCTGGATTGTCTCAAAAACACCAGTTAACSGGGCTTGTTTGAATCAGACTGAGTGCCGAGCTTGGTTGTGATGTCTCATGTGACTTTAGCACCACTGGTTCTCACCAACCGTGTCTGCTCCTTGCTGTCTGTTGAAGAAACCAAGTATCCTATTCCATAGGCAGGATGTGGCTGATTGCATGCCTGTGGTGACCCTCCGTGGCCCTCTGTTGCCGTGAGCAAGTGGTTGCTTAGCTATAGAGGCTCAATCACATTTAGATGTGCTTTGTGCTTTCTGAGCGAGAATCAGGGACATCATTTCTGGGTGTCCRACCTCTATGAAGTCACCCTGATCTCTTTTAATAATCTTTAACTAAGGATTCTTACCATTCATCAGTGATCATTGCTTGGATTCGGTATAATTATAGCCTGGAAAATGTGACTTTGAAATTTTATCAGTCTTTCTCTTGGCAAGTAGCTTGTGTGTTGGCAATTGGGGGAGCTGGGTCCAGGGCTCTCATTTAGAATCAAACACCTCATATTTCTCCAACCCTGATTTCTCGCCTGAGGTCTATTTATGTGCCTGCCTTCTTTGGATAAGGGTTTTTAGGTATTCCTTCCTTCTTCATCCCAAGAGGCCAGGCTCCCAGCCTTCTTCCCTCAGACTGAAGGGGTCCAAGCCTCCAGCCCTCCTCCCTCAGGCCCAGGGGTCCAGCCCCAGCTCTCCTTCCTCAGGCCCAGAGGTTTGGGCCCAGCCCTCCTCCTTCAGATCCAGGGGTCCAGGCCCAGCCCTCCTCCCTTAGACCTAGGAATCCAGGCCCAGGCCTCCTACATCAGGACCAGGGGTCCAGGCCCAATCCTCCTCCCTCAGACTCAGGGGTCCGTACCCAGCCCTCCTCCCTCAGACCCAGGGTCCAGGCCCAGCCTCCTCCCTCAGACCCAGGGTCCAGGCTCAGCCTCCTCCCTCAGACCCCAGGGTCCAGGCCCAGCCCCCTCCCTCAGACCCAGGGGTCCGGGCCTCAGCCCTCCTCTGAGGAGAAGCCAGGAGTCTGCTTCTTTTTATTCATCATTTCTAAAGTTGTCCTTGGCAACTCTTTTTCACATCGATTGTCCCTCTGCACCTTGGTCACCAGGTCCTACATGCCTCTCTTTCTGTGACCCCCAAGCTCACCAGTCACCATGTTCTGCTTCCCAGTGTGTCTCTGGTCCATCTCTTTCCCATCCCCCCTGCCCAGGCCCAGCTCACTCACTGCTTTGAGGACTCCTGCAGGAGCTGGTCTCTGCCCSGTATTCCTTCTCCCCAGGGGATTCCAACGCCCGGCCCTGCTCCATCCTTCGCTCCTCCCAAGGCTCCCATTGACTGAACCTGACTGAGCTCCTGGGGGCAGCCCTCCCGCTGCTGTGTCCCACAGGCCCCTCCTCCCTTCCCACTTCTCCCTGGCTGAGGTTTGCCCTTCAAAGTTCATGCACTTTTAATTCCTGTGCACTAGTGCCATGCTGCCCCTCTGTCCCAAATGCCTCTCCAGCCCCCTGTTTCTCCCCAGGTCTAAATGCTCCCTGATCTGAGGCTTTAAATTCCCCATCCCAGGGGCTGGGCTATGGCTCAGTTGGTAGAGTGCTTGGCTCACATGCACAAGGCCCTGGGGTCGATCCCCAGCACCCCCCCCCCAAAAAAAAAAACCCCATATCTGGGAAGCTTTGGCTACCCCAGGCTCCCGCATCTCTGTTTTCACTGCTCCGACCTCAGTTGTAAATGGCTGTGTGTCCCCCTGGAGGGCAGGGCCTGGGCTAGGGACCCAGCATTACCCAGTGTGGCGATGTTTCCCTTCACTCCTTCACTTGTTTCTTTCTTTCTTTTCTCCTTCCCTCCTTCCTATTCTCTTTCACTCTCTTTTTTGCCGCGTTGAGAAGGGAACTCAGTTCCTTGTGACTACTAGGAAAGCATCTACCATGGAGCTACAGCCCAGCCCTTTTTCTTTCTTTCTTTTTTTTTTTTTTTCTGTTTTAGAATTAGGATTTCACTAAGTTGCTGAGGCTAGTCTCGAACTTGTGATCCTCCTGCCTCAGCCTCCTGAGTAACAGGTTATAGGCATGTRCCACTGCACCTGGCTTCTTCTTCATTTATTTCCCAAACAACTGTTGACTTGGAGCCTCCTCTGGGGGATGCAGCACAGGAGTGAACCAGACAGTCAGAGTCCTGCCCCCAGGGAGCTGACACCAGGCCGGGTCTGAGGTCTGGCTGATCTTGCCCTTGCTGGCYTGCTTCCCTCTCTGAGTTCAGTCTGAAGCTGAGTCTGGTTGCTTTTCAGGAACAGAAGCAACTAAGGCAGGAGCGGGACCGCGTGGAGGGTCTCCGCCACAGACTTCAGGAGGCCCAAGGACAGCTGGACTCCCAGCCAGAGGACCAGCGGGAGCGACTTCTGCAGGGGGTACAGGAGGTGAGGGCCTCTGGACCTGATGTCCAGGCCCCACGGGTCCAGACTCCAGCCTCCTCCCTCAGCCCTTCAGCCCTCTTTCCTCATTGACCAAAAATCCAGGCTGYAGCCACAACTTTCCTCCAGGCTTTTTATGTCCCCACTCACAGATGAGGGAACAGCTGGATGTGGCCCAGCGCGCTTATGAGGACCTGGAGTTCCAGCAACTGGAGCGGGAGAGCCGGCAGGAGGAGGAGGAGCGGGACCGCCCTGGGCTCCAGCTGCCGGACCCCAAGGCCCAGGAACTTCAGGCCAGTGTGGCCCAGCACAGGGTGAGTGTCAGTGACTAACGCTGCCCCTGAGGCCATTCCTCTGTCTCCCCCACTGCGCGTGYGTCGCTGAGCTGACTGAACTGTTGGTGTGTCACACCGGGTGCTGAGCGTCCCAGGGTCTTCACTTGTTGAACCCTCACACAGGCCGACAGACAAGTCCTGTTCTACTTTTTCCATATCTTAAATGAAGAAGCAGAAGGTCAAAGTTCTTACATTATCTCTCAAAGTCACTTAGTTCTAAAAGGTAGAGCTGGGATTGGAAYCTTCGAAGTCTTGGCCACCACGCTCTATGCCCCTGGTCCAAACAGATGTGGTCACTAGTCCKACCTGCAAGCTTCACGTTCAGGGTCTGACAGGTTCTGTGGGTACTTCACACAGTTTCCCACTTTCTGGACTAGAAAGTTCTGAGGGGGTCTCCTCCTCCCACCTCTGCTTCYGGATCTTCTTGTCCTTCTCTCTTCCCTTCCTCGGTCAGGACTGTCCTTCTTTCTGTCTCCTGTTTCTATCTTGTCTTTTTCCTCTGCATTTTCTCTACATTTCTGTCTTCCAGGTGTGTCCTGTTTGCCATTCTTTGGATTTATTCTGGTTTGTCCCCTCTGTCTGTCCCTTTGTCTCTGTTCTGTGTGACTCTCTGGGGTTGCTATCTCCCTAGGCCTCTGCCTATATCTCAGTTCCTCCCTCCTCTCCCACCCACCCCGGATCTCTCCTAGAACCCCAAATGGGAAAAGAAACTCGCAGGCCCCTCCCTGGACATTCAGATCTCACCTTCTCTAGACTCACAGGGAGGACATGACTCTCTGGGAAGGTGGGCTGGGGCTCCTGGAGCAGCTGAGTAACCAGGGTGGCGGGGGGTGGCCCTGCAGCGCCGGATCCAGGTCTTGGAGGAGCAGCTCAAGTCTCTGGGGGAGCAGATGGTGGCTGAGAGCCGGGGCCTCAGCCAGGAGAAGGAGGAGACCCGTCGGGCCCTGGCCCAGGTGAGTTTCTCTGGAGACCTGTCCCAGGTACTCACTTCCCTCAGGTGTCCCACCATCTCCCTGGATCATGCCTCCTGGCTATGGGGATGGCCCATTTTGGCTTYACCGTGTGGTAAGCCGTGATGTCCTCCCTAGGAACAGAACCGATTCCTCGAGCTTAACCGCCTTCAGGAAACACCTGGTGGGGACTTCTCTGAGCCCAACCAAGCTCTCACAAAGGTATGGCGACTTTACATGCCTGTCAGGCTCCCCACCTCAGACCTAGGAATCCAGGCCCCAGCCCTCCTCCCTGAGATCCAGGGGTCCAGGCCCAGCCTCCTCGCTCAGACTCAGGGGTCCAGGCCTCAGCCCTCCTCCCTCAGATCTGGGGATCCAGGCCTCAGCCCTTCTCCTTCAGACCCAAGGATCCAGCTCTCCTCCCTCAGACCCAAGGATCCAGACTTCAGCCCTCCTCTCTCAGACCCAAGGATTCAGGCCCAGCCCTCCTCCCTCAGACCCCGTGATTCAGGCTCAGCACTCCTCCCTCAGACCCGGGGATCTAGGCCTCAGTCCTCCTCCCTCAGACCCAAGGATCCAGGCCTTAGCCCTTCTCCCTCAGACATGGGGGTCCAGGCCTAGCCCTCCTCCCTCAGACATGGGGGTCCAGGCTAGCCCTCCTCCCTCAGACCCAAGGATCCAGGCCTCAGCCCTCCTCTCTCAGACCCAGGGATTCAGGCCCAGTCCTCCTCTCTCAGACCCAAGGATCCAGGCCTCCTCAGCCCTTCTCCCTCAGACATGGGGATCCAGGCCCAGCCCTCCTCCCTCAGACATGGGGGTCCAGGCTAGCCCTCCTCCCTCAGACCCAGGGATCCAGGCCTCAGCCCTCCTCTCTTAGACCCAAGGATCCAGGCCTTAGCCCTCCTCCCTCAGAGCCAGGGATCCAGGCCCAG